TCCGCAAAAAAGAACTCTAGAAAGGGTGAACTAGTTAGCAAGGCCATCATGTTTTCCAACTGTCAGTACCCTAGTAGATTAAGAATAGCCAAATTGATTTCACACCTATATATAAGTTTTGCTTCATAATTTGCAAATCTTATCGATTCAGCCTAGATCTATTTTTTTCAGTTCTTTGCCTAGTTGTCAGGTTGTCCATCAGTTCAAATCAATTGTGTAATCAGTAGTAACATTGCTTTGAAAACCTCGCCACTTCATTTTCTGAAATGACTAGTGAGTGCAAATCTACCAAAAGAGTCGTACATTTAGCTGATTTTTGTTTTCATGTACACGATAAGACGACCTGTGATAACAAACAATCATTTCCTCATTTTTTCCCCGTGAACTTAAGCCTTCTCTACGCCATCTCGAAAGTTCCGTAGTCATGCCATTTATCAGGCCACCAAAACATTTACAGAAACAGACACGTTATTCTTTAAAACAAAAGCATAGAGATTGATAGCATTTAACACCAGAGAACTACTTCGGGTGAAAACAATTTTCGGTAGGATAACTAAGTACAACTTCACTTATTGTGACGAAGCACTGGTGACGTAAATAGAAGTAGGCATGATACACGCATGATTTGGGGACAGAGTCCAAAATCTTATCGACTTTTAGACTTTTTTGAGAAATGAAAAATTCATTTAACCTCTTCCAGGCAAGTTAAAGTTGAGAAGTTAAAGCTGAAACTTAAACGCCATGAATTTTAACTTGTGTCATATGTTAACTACTCCACCAGGTGAGACAGCTGGGGAACATCAGTCAGTGTCACTTAGTTTGGATACAAGACTCGCCATTCGGCTTAAGAATATATTTACCTTTGTTTTCAAAATAGAATTCATAATATTTTGGGTCAACTTTTATGTTATTCCAATAAATTGTTTAAACATCATGTTTGGAAAGTTTTTCCTCAAATAAAAAAGTCAAATTGAAATGAATTGTGAAAAATAAGTTGAGTGCTCGTTTCAGACAAAGCAGTGGCACCAGCTTGACGTTCAAATTTTCTTTCCTCTTTTCTTCCTTTCGCGTCTCTATGTTGTTATAATGGCTCTGAAATTTAGAATAGAATAGCCTTCTACTGTGCTTGCTACTTTTTGCGAAATAGCACTTCTCATAGTATATTTCTGTCTACGATAAAGAAGGGTGGCAAAAAATGATCATTTAAACTACTAAGCGAATTTAAAAATCTTCAAACCCTAAATTTTGTTACCTTCAGTTTCGTTCTCTAACACTCGGTCTTTGGAGGTGATACACATGACACCTTCAGTTTAAGGGTGAGGTCAAACGTCTTCGGTTAAAGCACTTCAAGGCTCGATATAATTGATATCTTACTGAGATATTTTCCAACAGCGACTCCCGCAGGTGACACTTGAAAATCAAGTCAGTACCATCCTCGCTTCCTTATCTTTGATCAAAACATGGATAGTACGTATGGTCGCCCTTAAATATACCTGACTGAATGTAATTATTTTACTGTTGTTTTCTTTATATGTACCCTTGATTGAAGGAGAAAAAATAAAAATATCAAAATATTTTCGTTTTGCCTTGTTCTGTTTTTGCCCAGAATTTCACTCGCACCTTCAATTCCCGTGCTTTTTCCCTCATAACCTTTATTTAATTAGGGTGTTATCTTTAATATGTTGGTCGCTTTCTGACACGGAATGATTTCTCTTTCTATTTTTTTATCCTGGATCTTCTTTACTAAGGAATTAATTTGTATTTGGGCTTTTAATACCGCTCTCAGTCCTGCATGGACCTGGATACTTAAGTGAAACAGCGCCACACGATTTCTCTAAATTTACCTCGATTTACTAATGCAGTTTGCACTTGCAGGTGAGTCACGTAGAAATGAAAAGTCTCTAGCTCTTGACATGAACGAAATTTACCTTGCTGAGTGTTTAAGTGGTTGTTTTGAAATTAAAAAAAGGAATCTAATATCGTGGTATCCTCTTCCAAAAAACGGCACGTGCCACGTGACTGCGTTACCACCGCCCATTGGTCAGTAAAACAACTATTCACATGTACCTCTAAAAATACACGTCTCGCACAACCTCTTCACGTGCTCTGCTAAAACGCAAATGGTTTGATAATCAAAATTGTTTGTTTTTCATTAGAAGCCTAAACACTGTTTATTTAGCCGAAGTCTAATTTATGCCGCGACTTAAGCTTAAGCAAAACCATGGGATCTCGTTCTAACCAGGCTGTTTCAAGACGATAAAAGCTTTTCTAGTCTAAACTATACTGTTCATTATAAACGATGCCTGGTTAAAAGGGTTGGGAAAACTGAAGGTGACTGAAGGCGCAACTCGGAATTGGCCAACCTCCGTTGAAATAACCGGCCTAAATCTTTGAGTATTACTTAATATGTTTGCTATTATCATAGTTAGAACTACCCAGAAGTACATCTAAGGCCATTTTCCTTTGCAGTGTATGAAACAAAATGTCTAGAATTCGCCCGCCGTGTGCAGCATGGCGACAAGTTTCAGCAAAGGCTTTTTAAGTTTATGGCCTGGCTGGATTAAGTAAAAGATCTTCCCCAAATAATTCCTTACTGTGAGGCAGCTGTTTGTGGTAATTTTTTCAAGTAAGTTTAATCCCAGGTAAACACTCAACCACAACCATGTTTTTAAGTTATCTTGGTACGTGGGTGGGCTTTTTCGGCACCAAACAGAAAGTGTGTAAATTCGGTGTTTCAGTCTCGTTGTTAAAATCGGGTGGAGAATATCAGACGAGGGCGGCTTTAAGCCCTCAGTTTGGGTATGTTTCCTTTGAAATGTTAGATTAAAATGTTGGTATATAAGACATAAGTGTAAGGTTATTTCATTTTGACCGCACTTTCATTTTTAGTCTGGAATGCATGATTTTACTGAGTTAGCCGGTGAAATAAGTACATTGAAACTCGCCTTACGGCCGCCTCGGTAATACTGTCACCTCGTTATTACGGCCACTTTGTTTTGGCCGTCTGGCAAAAACCGCCATACATTTTCTTGTAAAAAAGCCCTCGTTAATACGGCCAATTTTTTTCGGCACATTGGTGACCGTATTAACGAGGGTTCCCCTGCAGTATTACACTCTAAATTCATTTAAAAATAAAAATGTTCAAATGAGACTTTACACTGCTGCCATTTTAAAACACATAAAAATCCGAGCTTTCGCCGATCAACGGTATCATCAGGGATTAGAAAATCCATGTTTTGCATGAAGCTATATAAATATACAAAATTGGTGCGAGGTAATCAATTGGTAAAATGTGTAAAAGACCGAGTGTATATAGACAAAGAGTCTTAAAAATAGTCTCTAAAAAAAACCTCTAAACACAGGACCTAAAAACAGTAAAACAGAAGGTCTGCAAATTAGCTACATTCCTCGCACGAATTGAGGGTAGGCTTGTACCAGGGGCACCCAACGAGGATATAGTTCAAAACCACTTAACATAGCATTGTTGAACGTATTTTAGTATTTAAACGGTAGATATAGGCACATTTTTATCCCCTAAAAACTTTTCATCTGTTCGGATTTCCTAGCTGAAAGTCTAGTGATCCGAAAATTATAGGGATCAAAACTTACCTTTTCGAAAATTTCAGCCAGGAAAAGGCTCCCGAAAATTCTAGGTAGCCTTTTTTAGGGTAAATATCCGTTTAAAATGGGTAATTATACCATTTTGTAGATGTTCGAAAATCCTAGGAGAGGCAGGCAAGCAAGAAATTTTACAACAAATGTTCCGAAAATTCTAGTTCTCAAATCGTCTTCCGAACAGATATTTTCCCGAAAATTGCCGTTGGGTGCCCCTGTTGTACTCTCTCATGTAGAGTGCCTCGTATAGGCGTAGATTTGCGGGATCGTTTTCACCCATAATAATTTTTACTTCGATGCCTTTATAGTCATTGTTCTGACAGGAATAGATATGTTTCTTCACAAAGGAGTTTACTTGAAAAGATTTGGCATTAAATGTTACGTATTGTTTCAAGGGTTGAGTAAAATCACTCTAAACGCAACAGGCTCAAGAAGTCTAAGCTAGTCTAATAAGCGACTCGAGTGCACTCTTACATCGAACTCAGGATATTATACTGACTTATAACCGCTACTAGGGCCTTGCTAAGCCGTAATCTCTTCAAGTGCACAACTGAAAGTGAATATCTTTGAATATCTATGGGGTGGTTAACTTACATTGATGATAAAACAATTTCTGTCTTTCACTCACCCACCCACACAACAACACAGCTATGTTAGAAACTATCCCCTTTTGCCCCGAAATGGATATATATCTGAAAGAAAAAAAAAGATTAAGAACAAACCCATTAAAAGAAAGTTGCCCTTTTGGATCACCATCAGTATCCAACTCTGGTCTGACTGAAAGGAATAAAAGCCAATTGGATGCCTCCTGCCTGTTGGGGCATTTAATTTTGTATGTTTATGCCGTATTTGAATTAGTTGTTTCTAAGTATTTGAGTGGAGTGCCTGTAAACTAGCTGGATAAGCTAAGTGCACTTTCCACTATAAACAAGCCTTTAAACCTCAAATAGGCAATCAATATAAAAGTTTATAAAACTAGACAGGCCTGTGTCATTTTAGCCTAATTGATTTAAACACAACAGAAACAAAACTATCTCTCTTATCATCCTCCACAACAACTGGCTTAAGACTCCGTAAATTTCATAACCATTACTTGGGGGTCACTTTTTTTTCCAGCAGGATACAACCTGGGGCGTGGTTCCATGGTAATTCATTATTCGCTACATGTAAGTTATGTGTCAGTAGTCCTCCTGATGTAGACGTCATGCACAACAGGCGTTATTTGGGGTTCTCAGGTGGCTTTAGTCAGCGCCTTCAATAACGTCAGCCTCATCCCCAGGGTCTTCTCGTTTTCCAATATGCTCCTACGATCCCGCGCCTGTGAGGCTAGAATCTGGGGTTCCTGTGGTTCATACTCATCCGCTGACCACGCGTGCCCGCAGTCAGAAAAATAATGGCGGAGAAGGGCAGTTAGAGAAGCTGTGTAAAATCAGCTCAGACTAAATATATTTGCCACGTGGCATGCATCTTAAAAAAAAGGAGAAGACCCACAAGCAAACCATGGAACTTGATAAGAATGCTTTAGCATACTCTGCCACAACCTTGGCTGCTACGATGATGAATTCTATATTCAATTTCTACTATGTGAAGATTTTCCTGAATGTGTACAGGTAAAGGGACATTCGGGGTGATCCAAACGTCATAGAAATTCGATCCACGGCAAACCCAAGGGACAATTAAGATAGAAGGAAAGAAACTTCAAATCTAAATCTAAATTAATGGCATTATCAGAACTATTCAGGACCTGAACAATCGATGAAATCGATAATCGATGGCAATCGATAACAATCAATATCAATTAATCGATTGATATTGCTAATCGATGGACAACCCATCACGCAAATTTTTTGTGATTATTGATTATCATCGATTATCAATATCAATCCATAATCGATGGGAATCGATCAATTAACATAATAGATTGTTACTAATACGCAATATCAATCTATTACCTATTCAGTCAAACATTTCAATTTTCAATTTCATCGAGTATTAATAAAGTTACACATTTTGATATCATTGCTCTTCGGAATTCCACACGGAAGATCGAGGTGGACGTGGGCATCTGCACAGACATATAAAGAAAGAAGAAGAAAAAGAAAAAACAGGCTGTTTTTGAAGGTGGTGGACAAAACACTGACCACCAGTCCATAGTCCATGGACTACCCTAAAATAGACTATGCCACTGAAGTTTAAAGATTAGGGTTAGGAGACTGAATCACGTCTCAGATCCATTTCCCCAGTTTGATGACCCTAAATGGAACCTGACTTAATCAGTTCCCTAACCCTAATCACTAAATTTCAGCAGTGTAGTCCATTTAAGGGTTGTCCATATAGGTAGTCCATGGACTAGGGGTCAGTGTTTTGTCCACCACCTTTGAAAATAGCCTGATCTTTTTTCTAAGGGGGTGAAAATCAACTTATACCAAATTATCTATAGGAGGGTGTGAGGTTCCAATTTGATGTATATTTTTATTTTGGGCCTTTAGGATTTCAAACTATTGGTTTAACATCGCCCAAGTTGTGTTCCTTATTTGGAATGCCATCAATGACCCATTGTTTGGTTATTTCCAGGTATGGTGACAATATATTGGTATTTCTATAATTTCATTACATTCTTTTACACACATGCAAAACTTGGATTGGATCACCTAATTAAAATTCTAAACAGTTTACTGGACAGTAATACCCATTTTGTACTCTCTATTTTTCAACTTGTTTACATGTTATGTAAACAAGTTGCTCCAGTCCAAGTCTTGTACTTGCCCTACTTGTTACCTTACCTTCATGTAGATCATGATTGAAGTGTCCGCTTCATTAGGGTATATCACAGGGCTGAAAATAACAGTCGGACATTAGCTGACCAAAATTTACTAGTGACTGACGAAATCCCCCTGTGTTCAGAAATTATGTCAGGAGAATTTTCTTATCATTATTCATCTTATGGTTAGGAAGAATAAAAATCTACCTTGAGTAAATCTTACTTTGTGTTAGGACAATCTCAAAGTCATGAAACAACACTGACTTGGGTAATGCAGTTTTCTTTACTTTAGCGTAGTTATGTCCGGTATTTTACCCAATATAAAAGTTCAACCTTTTTTTTGGTGATGTCTGACCTTTCAAGAGAAAAAAAAATTATTTGCAGCCCTGTTATCATTGTTAGTGGTTTGTTATTCCAGATATTGTTGAAAGTCACAGTTGAAGCCATCTACATGCATGTGCTAAAACAAACAGGCAATATTTTACGCAAATGTACCTGCAAGCCTCAAGGGTAAATGAGACGTACTGTCTGCTACTCAAAGTGTACAATTCTGAGTTGTAAATGTCTCTTATTCATGATCAGTTCTAGAGCAGATTAAACCAGACTGTAAACATTACAAAAAAAATTGGTTTTGTTCTTCATGTTATTGCAGCTATAGCAGTAAGGATATACTAACAGTCTTGTATAAACTGTAGCTAGGTGCCTTTTTGGAGGAAATTTATTAACCTTTTGCTATAATTTGTTTCTGGTGTACCTGTTCTGGGTACATGTATTTACATTAGCAATAAATCATTGCAGCAGAGGAGCAAGGCTAATGTGGTTCACGTGCTTACTTTGAAACTGTTCATTACCTCCCAAGGACAGTTCCACCTGGATAGTTTTACGAAAAAGAAGGCTGGCAATATTTTATGGTGCTCCCTTATTTGCAATTAGGTCAGTAAATATTACTCAGAAATTATTTAAGTTTTCTTTCATTGTTCAGTTCCAGAAAATACTCAGCATTCTTCCCCCACAGAAGGATTGTTTCTTCCAGGGGAAGAAGGTCTTAAAGCCTCAAAAATTTTAAACTCTTTTGTAAATTCCAATGATTATTATGCATTTCATTTAATTTTTTTGGTCTTGGAGACCCCTCTTCCCCAAGGAATTTCAAGTCCCTTCTATGGGTGAGTATAAAGATTTTCTGCAACTTCACATTTGCACAGGCCAGGGATTGGCGTGAGAGAACAATACCCTTCCATGGAGGGCATGGATCTTTTCTGTAATTGGCTATAGATGTAATAAAAATAGTAGACCCAGATACATGGCTTTTGTATGTTAAGTACAGTTATGACAGTGCGATGAATGTATGTCTGCAGCTGTGAATAATAATCAATCTATTACGGCATGGTCTTTCTGTCCCACTTGTCACTTGTAGGGAAGCAAGAGCAGAGTGGTGAGATCACTTGCCTCCCACCAGTATCTCCCAGGTTCAAATCCTGGCATGGATGCCATATGTGGGTTGATTTGTTGTTGGTTCAGCTCTGCCATGCTCGGCGAGGTTTCCCCCTCTCCTTAAAAACCACCATTTCCGAACTCCAATTTGACTCAGGAATTAGGTAGATGAAGAACCACTTGGTTGATGTGCTACCTTTAATTATTATTTATTTATCTATTTTATTTACTACTTGTCTAGTAATGCAATGTTAAGAATAGATACAAGTCTGCTGTGCAGAAAGTTAGTAGATTTGAAACTAAAACTGTCTCATTTTCTTTCACTGATCTCAGCTTTCTTTCTCCATGGTTTCCTTGGACGTGGCTTGGCTTCACTGGTGATTGGGTGGTTGGTCTTCATCTTATGGTGTCCCTGTGTTTTTATGATGGACTCTTCACTTTTGGTATAAATATAATAAATATTAATTCTATTTTATGATAATTATTATTATCATGACCATTAAATGTACTAGAGTGCTAAGCATTTGTAGAGGAACATCTTAGAAAAAATATTGCTTTTTTTATAGCACACAATTAAATTACAAATGGGCCATTTCCGAGTTCCCCCGCACCTCTGTAGCAAAAGGAGGTTAAGTGCTCAGCCTTTGATATGGAAAAGACTCTTCATTCTCATGCAAATAAAACTCATTTTCACAAGGAAGGTTGTGCACTTGGTCTCATTTTGAAAGTGGGGGTTTTTGAAACTTGGAAGTGGCCTATAATTGACATCAGAGGACAACTCTACTTGTATGTGAAAATACACAAATCTTGATGAATCCTTTTGTCACAGACCCAGGGAGGCGATGGGGATTTTTCCCAAAGACTTGCCTACTTTCACATGAAAAGAAGTTGATGTTTCTGGGAGAAGACTTTGTCCCATGTTGACTACTGTTGCTGTATTTAAAGAGATTAAATACATTGGTGGAAGACTTGAATTAAAACTTGGAGTCCTCACACAACCTAATAAAATGCCCTTTTTTTCATTTAGTACTACTTGCCCAGTGTGCTCTTTTTGCTGAGATTTCTACACATCAAGAAGAAAGACAGTCAACTCTCAAATATTCGTAAGAACAAAAGAATATGAAATGAACTCTACTTTCTTTTGCTGAAATCTTATTTATGACGTGTCTCTTGCATCAAAATTATTAATTACAAATAACAGTCACGGCTTATTTATTTAGCATTAAATTTGACTTGAATGAATAATAATCATAATAATAACAATAATAACAACAACTGACTATGTTTGTTTTCAATGAGTAGATAAGTGATAATAAATATTGTGATTTCTTTTGCATGGAAAAATTATTTATGTTGTTTTGGCCTCTTTTAGATCTTAAAAATGATAAGTAATGATTTTTTGCATTTTTTATATTCAAATGGCAATTTTTTATTTAAATCTTTGGATTTCTCAATTTCACTGAAATTTAAAAATACAATTAAATAATTAATACATTATTTATGTATCCTTTGTTTGTTTGTTTGTTTGTTTTTTTTTTCAGGCTAGTAGCCTCTATTATTGGCTCAACTGCTCTTTTCATAAGCACAAGTGTGTATAAAGATGAGGTTTGTTTAACTTTGTCACTTTATTTTTGAAGAGAATTGAATAATGTTATTATTACTGACTTCATAAATTAATGATAAATATAAATGATAACAATAGTAGAATTAATTGACCCATTAAACTCTGTTTCATATAGATGTTAGGTGAGGACATAGAAAATAATTGTGCCAAACTTCAGTGCAAACCACTCTGAAGCCCTTCCCAAAACTAAACAGGCCATGAGAGGGAAAAGGTGACCAGAGATTTGAGATGTTCCGTTTATAGATATTGTGATTGTTTTTCTACCAAAGTAGCTATATGGGGCTCTCATTTCTGATACCCAGACAAAATCTCTGGTCCCTGGCCGCACATGAAAGCCTTTCAAAATATAAGTACTGTTGTTTTATATCTTGATGATTTTTAAGTAATAAATGTTAATATGTTATTTGTCTTGTTGACAGCAGAGTAATTTCCATTCATTCCAAGCTGTCTGTGTCATAGTAGCACTCCTAAGTTGGTTATTGATGAGGTACACTGGTTTGAACGTACAAGTTGCAGTGGAAGCATCCACCTCTGGCAATACATCAGATCAAAGTAAATTTTGTGAAGTCTGTTATCTGTTTTAGTTCTTTTAACACTACTAGAGAAGTTTAGTCTGTAACTGTGATGATCTTTACATTTAATTCACCACCTGCAGATCTAAAATTTTAAAAAATAATACATTGTTTTTATATTCATTTTAGATTGAAATTTAATAATTTAATATTGTTTTACTTTATTCTGTTTCAGATGGAAAAACATCAAAAGAATCAATACCTCTGATTACGCTTCTGAGGCAAATTCTAACCCAAAGAAGTTTTGGTACACATATTTATTAGTAACAATGATTTCACTTTGTTAGTGTTAAAATCACAATAAAACCTGTAAACCCATTTTAGTCCTTATAGTGGAGCTCACTTTGTGAATGTGAGAGTTCCAGGCCTTTTGGCAAAGCTTGTATAAATAAATAAATATATAAATTCTTCAATGTTAGAGCCGGTTCTGGTCACTATGAGGCAAGTTCACACAACAATGCCCAAAACTCCATTTAGGGTGATGACAATGTTATATAACCTAAAATATTGTTAAAATGTGTTGTTCTTGCTGTTGATGAACATTAAATGAAAAGTAATAGTATGCTGTAGCTTTTGTTCCTGATGCTAGATAATAAGTTAACTTACAATGTGGGATGTCTAAGGCATGTATGTGCTAAAGTGAAATCTTGAGATACAGTAGTGTTAAGGTTTCAAAACGATGCTGCCCTCTCTTCTTTTGATCCCCTCCTCTCTGCTTTTTTTAACATTTTCTTCCTGAGCCCCCCTTTTTTTTACTGGACAGTGTTATTACAGTTTCAAGTAGCTGCAGGTTATCAGTATCACTGAGAACAGTTTAAATTATAAAGACCCTTAACATCTTCTTTCTTTTTTGTTGCAGTTTGCTTTGTTGCAATGAATTTTTTCCAGGTACTTGTAGTTTTAATGAGGACATGCATTTAGGGATGCCCAAACCATAATAACTGTACTGTAGCCACAAAAAGTGGCACGTACTGGAATATTATTATGCTATGTGATCCAAATGCAAAATACTGCATCTTGCATGATTGTTTGGAAATGCTGCAATCTGTTCATAGTGATTGGAAATTCTGACGACACCAGACTTTGGGTGGTATTGCAATATGGAAAACCCCCATCATCTACAAAAGGATGATGAAATATCACACCAAAAATAAAACATAATTATGCTCAATAATATACTTATTATAAAGTCTTCAGTTTACATGTCTTTTTTTACATTATATAGTTTACATCCACCCATTGCACTGTATTTGTATTTGACTACACTACATTGTGGGTATTTAATTTAATATTATTATTCTGCTGTTAGAATATTGAATTTATTAAGTTACATTATTGCTTTTCAGGTGTTCCATGTCACTTTTGGTAGCAACTTCTTCCTCATTTTTGTTGAACACCTGATAGGGTCTAATGCCATTCCTGCTGTAAGTCATTTAGCCTGCATGTTTCTCGTTTTAATAATTGAAAGGAAAATCATTCCTTGTGTTGTACTTTTGGGGTGTGGCTGAATTGCTGACCACTTTTTCTTTTGGTAACAAACGTATAGCAATTTTTTTTACCTTTTTTTGACACATTCCTGCTAAAGTAAGGTCACTGCAAAAGATAATTTATTCAATGTGTGAGTTGAGCCTTACCAGGCATTATTCATCAATTCTCCTTTGTTAGAATGACTTATGGAATTTAGCAAAAAAGTAAGAAGCTTGCACTTGAATGTACATAATATTATGGATGCGCATACAATTCAATTGCTGACATGTACAAAAAATCTCTTTCAATTTTTAGATCCTGTATAGTATACTTACTGGGTCTGTATTCATGCTTCCTAAGGTAGGTATTATATAGTAACAAGATATGAATTATTTATTATTTTTATAATAGTTAAGTAATGGTCCAGATAAGAAGGAGAGGACCAAAACGCAGTGAACACGTCGGAATGCAAAAAGGTGCTAACTTTACTATTGTCTCTACTAAGGTTCTGATTGGTTTGAACGTCAAATTTTATGAAATCTTCGCAAAGCAGCATGTATATTAATCCCTTTTTTTCTATCCAACTTCCTTATAACAAAATCTCGTCTGAGTCTAAGTAACACAGAAATCGTATGTGCGGATCATGTAAAATTGTGAACATTTCTTGGCCATTGTTTGCAACTCTTGTGATTGGTCGACATGTTTTAACACAAAAATACACCCTTTAAAAGTGGAGTTTAAATACATTTTCTTTCGTAAACAGCCTTTTTGTAGATTTATACATTCTCTGTGTAAAAATGAAAACATTTCTATGTGAGGAAAGTGTATTGCGCCACAACAAAAGAAATTGCTTCCCTTCTTACCTGGATCATTACTTAAATGTTGTGAAATGAATTTGTGTATTCCTATTGATTCTACCCAACAGAATTAACCGATTGCTTTAAAAATACTTTCACTGGACTTACAAATCCCATCCATTTTCAAACGTGTACAATAATAATGAGCAATGTACAATGTGCCTTTGTAAAGCTTTTTTTTTTACAATAAATTAAACACACTTGGTTGTATATCTTTGAGTCATTTATCTGAATGAAATCATAGTTGTTTAACAATAGATAGTAATAATTATTTTTGATAATAATGACAAGCATTTTAAAAGAAAAATTAACGATAAAATGAACAACACTTGCTTATTCTAGACAAAAAGTGCCTGTCAATAAACCTCAGTCATATTAAATCTTAATTTGAAACATGTTCTGTCTTTCTTTTTAGCTGATTGTTTTGTTAACAAGTCCACTGTTGGCTAGATTTGGTTCTTATAAGCTCATCTTATGGTCTTTTTACATTANTTGGCCATTGTTTGCAACTCTTGTGATTGGTCGACATGTTTTAACACAAAAATACACCCTTTAAAAGTGGAGTTTAAATACATTTTCTTTCGTAAACAGCCTTTTTGTAGATTTATACATTCTCTGTGTAAAAATGAAAACATTTCTATGTGAGGAAAGTGTATTGCGCCACAACAAAAGAAATTGCTTCCCTTCTTACCTGGATCATTACTTAAATGTTGTGAAATGAATTTGTGTATTCCTATTGATTCTACCCAACAGAATTAACCGATTGCTTTAAAAATACTTTCACTGGACTTACAAATCCCATCCATTTTCAAACGTGTACAATAATAATGAGCAATGTACAATGTGCCTTTGTAAAGCTTTTTTTTTTACAATAAATTAAACACACTTGGTTGTATATCTTTGAGTCATTTATCTGAATGAAATCATAGTTGTTTAACAATAGATAGTAATAATTATTTTTGATAATAATGACAAGCATTTTAAAAGAAAAATTAACGATAAAATGAACAACACTTGCTTATTCTAGACAAAAAGTGCCTGTCAATAAACCTCAGTCATATTAAATCTTAATTTGAAACATGTTCTGTCTTTCTTTTTAGCTGATTGTTTTGTTAACAAGTCCACTGTTGGCTAGATTTGGTTCTTATAAGCTCATCTTATGGTCTTTTTACATTAAGGTAAAGAGATTGAAGACTGAGTTGGAATACATGTAGATGTTAAAGTTAAAACATATGCTAGCTTCAGAATGGTGTTTTTTACTTTTAATATTAAGACTTGGAATGCTGTGAATAATAAATAACAAATTTATCACAAGGACATTGTATGCTGTATAAAGTATACGTTGTATATTTTAAATGACATGACATACATTGTATATTCCAGGTCTTATTTGTTATATTAAAGTCATTTTATTGAATTACGGTTCTGAAAATTTGGGGAATGACTCCTTATTCCTTGACTTGTAGTGATAAACAGTTATTGAATGAGGTGTTAATGATATTTACTGGTAGAATAATCAATGTTAAGACTTTGGTTGTCAGCCGACTCTGATTTATTAAGGTCTTAAGGCTGGTAACACCTACCAAAACCATGATTATTCTTCAATTGATATCTCAAAAGCTGATTCTAATGTTTTGTTATATATTGTTTAAAGGGAAAAAATGGTAAAAAATGGTATGCACTGGCCTATAGAACAGAGTTTATGTTTTCTAAGAACAAACGAAAATGCTTTGAACGAGGTATAATTCTCAGTTATCAGCTAGCTAGCAGATAACTGGTTACAGAATAACCTATAGGCTCAGAGCTACTTTGCAAAATTATCAGAGAGAACAAACAAGTGAGTACAGTGAATAATAATTAATACTAATAGTAATCACTTAGTATTATCATCATCATCATCATCATCATCATCATCATTATTATTATAGGTAACTGAACTTTCATACAGCATGCAGTAACTGTGTACATTACATGGTAGATAGGACAAGTTAGCACTGTACAAGTTGCCATGCTAGATGAAAACATTATCTTTTGTTGTTATTGTTAGGTATCTTTGCCTGCTATTGTCTTTTTCGCTGGAAGAAATAATATTTGGGTCCTTTACCTTTTTCTGATTATTGACAAGTAAGTTACCATTATTTTATTTCATCACACTCCAAATACTGACATGCAATATTATTTATTATTATACATTGTACTCATTATCTGTGTCCTCATTGGCTAAGAACTTACAGTTAATTTTGGAAATCGGTGAAACCTACAGATTAGTGACTTATCTGCTAGCAGATAACTGACTAATCTTTAGGTTGTGTGCACAGTGCATGATTTCCAAGAACATTTGTCAATTCGGTTCCTTGTGACAGAGAGTTTGTCATTATTTTCGTCAAAACAATGTATATAAAAAAATTATTACCGGTAGATTCTGTTTTTGTGATATCCTAAATAATCAAGGTCCATCAAGCCTCAGCCTTCGGCTTGGCTGGTATCACTTTTCTTGAACTTGATTACTCCGGATATCACAAAAACCTCATGGGAATCCAGTACTGTTTATGGTAGAGTGTTTTATGAGACAACCTTCTATCTATGCTGTTTCAATGTTGGTTTTTATTCCAGTACCCTTCCAGAGGCAACATTCTCTTTGTTCAATTTACCAGTGTCTGACATCATTGATAAAGACATGGAAAAATATCAAAGAAAGTGAGCAAAAGGCATACTATTATTTGAAATTACGGTATATATAACAGTTATACTTCCTTCATATAATAATGGCACCCACTTCTGCTCTCTGTTAATTTCAAAGATTATTGATCATTAAGTCCTTTACCTTCCATTCTAAAGCTTCACTGAACTAGTTTTATGGATGTAAAACATAAATAAAAAAAATTTGTAATGTCATGATCCAGAAGGAAGGGAAAGAAGTACAACTGACTGGACATACATGCATTATTTTACACACGCAATAAGCTGGCTGCATTAATTTTAATGTACATCATAGGTTTCGTGATTATCATAAATTACTGCTGTTTCAGTCTAGCAACTCTAGACTGTTCACATTCCCCTATTTTTTCCTAGGAGCATCAGGGTCTAGTGCTTACAAGTATGGGCAGCCATCAGTTTTTTCATATGTACCCCAGGCTAGACGGCCTGGAACATTTGAAATTAAGATAACTATCCATAACACAAGTGCTCGATCTCAATGATCTTAAGGAAAAATAGTCTATTCAACTCTTAAACAAAAATTAAACATTAAATCTGAAAGACTTTTGGAAACAAGAGTTATTTCCTTGGAACTTATATGAAACATTATTGCCACATTAAAAAAAAAATATCATTGTCTTGGTACTTACAGTGCACCTGTTTCATCAATGATATTTGGCACCAATGCAATGTTCACCAAACCAGCTCAGTCTTTGGCTCCCATGATGGTCGTTCACATCCTGTCTTGGTATGGATACAAGGTAATTTTTTTAAGGCAACACTTAAAAAAGTGTTAATAATTACAGCTAAAGAATATGAAATAGCGAGCATTACTGCAATCGTGAAACAGAGGCAATAAGAATGCGTTCGCTCCTGATTTCCCACAGTTTTTGAAGTACTAGGTGTGATAACAGGTTGATTGAAGTTAAGCAGGTTATATAGTGCAAGTCATTATTATCATGACCAATAATGTTACAAGTTGAGATGTATAATCTTTAAACAGAAAATTGCTGATTGCCTGGCACCTATATTATGAGGTGGCTGAGTGTAACAAGTAATATTGGATTTTGATGTAATTGATCAACATTCCATTTTTCTAGCATCTGGGCTTTGTCGACCAACCCAATGCCTCAGCCTCAGGCATGTTTTTATTTTGGGTCTATAGTGGTGATAAAATATTTATGTAGTGGTATAATTTTATGCTTAGTTATTTTTATTCTCCTTTTTTTGTTTGGTATTAATAACAATATTTTAATGTGTGATAACGAGTTTGATACAAAGGAAAATTAAATTAAACCACAACATATCAAAAGTGACATGTATTTTAAATATTAATAGTATGTAACTATTGTTTTTAGGACAGTCAAAATGTGAAAAAAGACAAAAGCCTTTCAGGTATGTACTAGGATTTTTAACCTTAAACAGATGTCCGAGTTTATAGCTCACTTCTTAGAAGCACAAAACTAACAGTACATTTCTGTACAAAAATTTCTTAAACATTCATTTGGTAGGCATAAAAATTTCAAAAAGGAGGTTTTTTTTACTGAAAATAGATTTCCAAGATAACAAAACTCATATTAAAGATTTAATACCATATTCATTAGTCTTACCCAGAAAACTTATAACACCAAAACTTCTCCTGAGGTAATGAGGTACAATGTCTGTGTCTGCAAATGGCAATCTTTTAGGCATCAACAAGACATATAATGACGAAATGATCAATTGCACTCTTATTATTAGTAGCTGCACAGGTCTGACTTTTGTTCTTTCTTTTAGGGTCAACAACACAAGAACTTTTAGATGCCATGTTTTCTCTTTTATGTTTTATCCCATTGTTTGTTGCTGTTGTTCAAATTGTAGTTTGGAAGTTTTATCCCCTTAAGAAACCCATAAAGGAAAAAGATCTTTCCAAGATACTTGTATAGTGTTAGGACTCCAAAGTCACAAGTACAAGTTGATAAATTTCACTCTACATTGTCAGTTCTGTTGATATCACTAATTTAAAGGACCCTGTAAACTGTATACCCAAGAGTGACAGAGACCTTCAAGATGAGATAAAGTATGTTTTGTAGCAGTCAAGAAGACATTTTGGTTTTATTTAGTATGTGAGGAGGTGGTATTGTAAAATAGTGTTGTAAATTTAGAAGTAGTTAGGTAAATTGGTGGTGTTATGAACAAGTCATTAAACCGAGGGATCACATGGATCCAATAAAGCAAACTGTACTGTTTTGATTTTATGTTTCAATACTGTATTGTGTGTCTGTGGCCTGAGAAAACAACCAATGTTCACGGGGCCACTTTTGGGTTCTCCAATTTGAGGTACACTGTACCATGAACCATCAGCTGATTACAGAAGCTATGATCTTGTATTTTTACATTTGAATTTAACTATTGAAATCTTTGCCACATTTAGGTGGTGCTGTTGTTTTTTTCACCAACCCTTCATTTATCCAATCAATAGGCTTGGTTGTTTCCAGAAGATTTTTCTTTGCTCCCTTTGCATTAATCCATCTTTAGTGATTTTATCAGAGAAGATGAACTGGCCCCTTGCACGGCCGTTCTTTTGGCCAAGGATGTAGAGTTGTGATAAGCAAAATATTATTGATATCTGCATTTTATAAGAGGCTTTCCATTAAAGTGTGCATGGAAATCCTCACAAACAGAAAGTGTGGTTTTAGGAAACATTCGGTTACCCCAATGAGGGTTCAGGTTCAGGCTGGTAGAAAAAGCAAACAAAGAATTTAATGAGAGGAAAATGGGGAGCGCCACTTTCCCCAATCCCCCACTTTTTTTGCTCGCTCTTTTTTGCCCTATGCTACAGTATTTCACAGGCTTGTCCACTGACACCTCTATTACAAGCCTGTGTAAGAACACAGCTTCAATGCCTAAAACAAAAGACTTTTCAACACATAGATACATAATTCCTAGCAAACCACGCTCTGACCTTATTCCTCACAAATAATGGCTGCAATTTCCACTATTCACATAGATACTCACTAACATGGTCATGTTGTAGGATAGCTGTCTTGCACAGTTGTGCCTTTCTTATTATGCTCATTATTTTCCTGAAGCTTCTACAATTTTTACTAGTTGGTTGACCTAATCTCATACAACAACCAGAAATCCCCTTACAAATGATTTTCAGGTACTACCAGTATTATGTATCCTGCTTAACATACATTGCTCTCCTAACCCAAAAAGCAATTCTGATGTTTGTGTAGGCTGGTTTAACTGGATACCCTGCTACAGCTTCAGCTACATAAGCTTTGTAAACGAAAAGTGCAAGTGACCACCTGACAAAAATGCTTTTTCAGAGAAATCACTTTATGAGCATGTACATATCATATTGTCTGGTTGACTTTGAAAGGTTCACCTATGTTGTGTCATCATTATCGAATTGTGTGTTATAATCAAAAGCACTTTATATCAAATTGGCACTGTCTCATTTTTTGTCTCAAGTGTATAGTTCAAAGTCTATGCGTTTGGAATTATAAAATTGTCCACCTTCATCATCTTCACCCACTTTTCTCACCCACACACCATCACCAAAACATCCTTCATCAGTCCATTTCATCATATGAGTAGAGCTGTAAGGTCCATAAATAGTGGCATCTTTAGTATTTTCCCACTTATACTGCCAATAAACTTCACTGTCACTAGCTGGCTCTTTTTCAGTATTGTCCACCCTCCCACTGCCATTTTTGCTAGCTGTATCCTCACGCTCCCCTCCCCCCTCGTTAAAAGCGGCCTCCAGAGCATCATCTTCCTCATCCTCTTTTTGTTTTTCTTCCAGGGTTTTCACTTTATGAGCCAACTTTTCATACGTATCTTGGTAAACACCAAAGTTACCTCTTTGAAGAAGATAGTCCGCTAACTCAGTAAGCTTTAAGAGACTCTGTTTATCTGCTTCCGATGTTGAACTTTCGCGGCTCTCATCCGAAACCTTTTGTTTCTTTGCTTTTGTCTGCCAACGTGCACTTGCAGAGGAGCTTTTACCCCGACCGCTTTCTTTCCCACCCAGACGCCTGAGTGCTTTCAGAACTGTCTCTCCGGGTAAAATGATGCCTAGAATGTCTTTCATGGCGTTTATTTCGTTACCTGGTTCTTCGGCGTCTTCGAAGTTGCTGTCATCCTCATTGTCCAGATTCTTTGTACCTTGCTCTCCCTGCTGCTTAATTTTCACCCAGTCCAGCGAATCCAACCATTCGTCTCGAATCACTTCTTCTTTTTTCTCGAAATAATTTCCCTCAGCGTCGAAATGCCCTGTTTCCATTTCTTCCTTTAAGTTGAAAGGCGTTATTTTGATTCCTTCATCGTAGTCGATCGTTGCTTCCTCTTGCCCTTCTAAATCTTCCTCTTGTAAGACATATTTTTCGTCGGTATTTTCATCATCTTTGTCCTCCTCGTCATCACTATCCAAAGAATGGAGCTTGATTCGCTGCATGGAAGATGCCTCCTGGATTTCTTCGCATTCTTTTTCCGCAAATTGTACTTTACGTTTCGACATCTTGCAAGCAAGCAAAACCAAAATGGCGGAATGAATTAATTTAAATTTGTTGCCAGGTCCTTCCCGCGCTTTCATATTTCGTCACGTGACACTCTTCCAAGAGGAAATCAACAAATTGTCACAAATGTTTGCTGATCAGCTAGACGGCAACCTTCACCGCTTTCAGGCGAAAAAGAGAAATCTTCATGCTATGCAAAGGTGAAAGCTTATTGTTTCACCTTTTACAATTCTTTGAGAGTCACGAGTGACGGCTAGGGCTCTATTTCAGTTTTTAGTGTACGCGTTTATCGATTGTTTGGGCAAAAGGACGCTTTTTTGAAAGTTGTTTGTATCATTTTTTAGAACTTAAAGTATGATACAGTTTCGATGGCTACTTGAATACTGAGGAGTTCGTCAAAATGGAGATAAGCATACTCTAAGGACACGGTTTAGATCCCAGAGTGGAAAGCAAATTTTATTATCCTTGAGGATTTCAAGATGGCTACCGGAAATGGCAATGTTCATTGCCGTCCGTTTGAAATAGACGGGAACGTAGAGGCTATTGACACACTGTCGCTGGACTTTGGACGGTGTGTAACAGTCAACAGATGGAAAGGAATGCCCGAATGTGATGAGTTTGTTGGAGCTAGGTAACAAACACTTACAGATTGTTTCAATTTGCTGATTCAGCAGGATTCTCATGTGTTGTAAAGAAATACATGTTAGTTTAATCAGTGGGCTGGTTAGTTAGCCAACCAGAGCCATTCTGTCAAGGTCAGTCAGTCACCCAATCATGAAAAAGCTCCCATATTTAGCATTTCCAACTTCATTAGGATGTCGGGAATAGAGCAAAAGAAAATACTAAGTCACAAAAAAGCAGTACAGGGGAACCCGGTTAATACGGACACCAACGGGACATTCCATAGTGTCCGTATTAACTGGGTGTTTGAGAAAGTGTATGAGCTTTTTTTCCATCAGGACAAACATAACTGTATGTTATATACAGGTGTCCATATTAAGTGGGTGTCTGTAGAGCAGGGTTTCACTGTACTACTGTTTTCACCAGTCAGCAGGATTCTCATGTGTTGTAAAGAAATACATGTTAGTTTAATCAGTGGGCTGGTTAGTTAGCCAACCAGAGCCATTCTGTCAAGGTCAGTATGTACTACCGTTTTCACCAGTCAGATAGTTAAATAGCCAGGCATGTACTGTTGTCAATGCTGCTAGCCATTTTGCTAGTTACCAGTAATGTAAAGACAATGAGTCAACACTCATGACCTGGTCAGCCTTCCAATCTACCATCAAAAAAATGAAAACTTTTTTAGGGAGATGTACATTTAGGTTCTCCACTCCACTAAAAGGAGGTCACATGACTCCCTTAAAACACCTGTATGGGAGCTAGTTTTTGAGAGGGTCATTGGGTTAAACTGCTTCTTTCTTCTTCAATATTTATCTTGTAAATGCTTATGAATTAAAAGGAAGAATTTCATATCTAAGCAGGAATCACTTAGCGTGGCCTTAATTCACAGACCCCTTTGCTTTACCTGTTTTGGTACATGGCTACTGCGCATGCAATGTAATGGTCTCTAAGCGTGGACAGGTGATTACCCAAACAGCCCTAGAAATCTTAGAGGCAAAGGCAGGTTGTCAGTCTCTTTGGAGTTCTAAAATGTACATTCAGTTAACCTTGTTGATTATTGATTATTATATGCCCATGTTTAACAGGCGCAGCAAGCATACACTTGTAGCCTGGAATGATGCTTTGTATGTATTTGGTGGAGATAATGGGTATGTACTGTGGTTTGTACTTCAGGGTCCAGTTGTTCGAACGCCGGTTAACACTAACCGGGAGTTAAAGTTTAACCCGGGTTTCTTTTTCTTTTTATCAAAAGCACTCTCTCGGATAATTTTCTCTATTTTTTTAGCATATCCAATCATCAAATTGTAGGCAAAGAAAATTCAACTGAATTGGCCTTTAAAGCTCTCATATCTGAGTTCAAAATTTTCCCGGGGTTATCTTAACCCAGCTTCAAACAACCCGGCCCAGAAAGTGATTTTTATAAGTGCTCTTTCGACTGATCTAACTAACCACACCCTTTTAACTCTGTGGTTGCAAGGGTGCTGGTGTGTTGATTTGGAGATCACAGTTTCAAACCCCTGCAGGACCACCAGCCATGGTCTAGCTCCTGGATTAAGAAGTGCTGTCCATCAGATAAATCACCATTTAGTAGGCAAGGGAAACCATTTTGTGCTATCCAGTGGATAGAGATTTTTCTGGTGGGTAGCATTATCCACCTTTTGAACAACTGGGGACTGAGCAGTAAGATCATGCCAGCTGTGATTTAAGACTGCCTGTTAGTCAGGTTAATTGTGTCATATTATTCACTGACATTCAGTCATTGCAGATTTGCCCTTCCTCGTTTTTTCTTGGGTTCCTCATCACAGAAAGGTGATGTAAAAGAATCCATTTGTAAAACATGTTGTTCAGAAAGAGTAATGGATGATTGTAGACCGTTGTCCTTTCTCAGTGGAAGGTGACTGTCGTTGGCCTGAAGTAATTTACTATTAAGAATTGTCTAATAATCAATGTTTTTATGAATAAGTTTGATTTATTTATTAATAAAACAATTATTATTACAGAAAGAGGATGCTGAATGACATGTTGAGATTTGACATCAAAGACAATTCATGGAGCAGGTAGGTCCTGTGACTATCTCTCAAGCTTGTGACCTGCTTGCCATATCAGTCACCCCTTCATAGCTCAATGGTTAGAGTATACAACCAGTAACTGGCCATGGAAGGACGCTAAAGTTGAAGGAAGTTAAAGTAACCTGGTAGTCATCATTTGAATAAACAATAACTCTCTTAATGGGGTCCCGTGGGTCTTTATTGCCTTGACCACTACAATACCATATAACCCCAGGAATGAGGGCTTGGGAAAAGCAATCTTGTTTAAGTGCTACCTGGAATTGCATGATGAGGAGGTATACTTTGCAACAGCTCAAATGTAATAATAATTACTATAGACGGGTTTGGCACTGAACTTCCATCACTTATATTTAGTACTGATAAACAGGTTTATCACTCACGTTTAACTTACTATTTTTTATATTTGCAGAGCGGTTACAAAAGGTGCTCCCCCTACTCCCCGTTATCACCATTCTGCCGTTATCTTTGGACCCAATATGTTAGTGTTTGGTGGATTTACAGGTATGAGTTAACTTTAAAGCCTTACTTATCAATTTGATATTATTTTTCACACTTTTAAGTTCCTTACATGGTTTCTGTTAACATAAAAAGAATGGTTTAAAAAATAATTCAGACGTTTTGTTACATCTTAGTGTTGTTTGTGTTCTCTGCAAAAAATGCAGTGTTATCAAAAGGTGTTCAATTTAAAACTGCCACAATCATATGAAAGGTAGAGATGAGTAAACCCCAGCTGAACAGAACATACAATGTAGTGTGTTATTTATGTGGCAGGCCAGACCTCTCAGTTGGTAGAGGTAGAGCTCTTGATCACAGAGAGGGAGGTCATGGGTTCAACTATACTGGAACCAGAATCGACCAAGGTGTTTTGGCTTACAAATGGTTAGACCTTTCCTTATAAAGCAAACAGTGACGACCATAAACAGTTATAGTGTACAGTATGTACTGCTGCCCTTAGACTATCCCCTTCATTTGTTACTGCATTAATTTAACTGTTGCCACGTAGGTGATCTTTACTCCAACTCCAACCTTCAAAACAAGAATGACTTGTTTGAATACAAGTTCAACACTGGTCAGTGGACAGAGTGGCGTATAGAAGGAAGGTACTAAACGTTGATAAACACAGAGTAGAATTTTAAGTATAACGAGGTTGATATTGTTCATGACATAAATATACTTTTTGTAATGAAGAGCAGTTTGCTATGCTCTATTAATTTAATCGAACAGGTTACATTTCTTTGTATAAAATGTCTGTTCAGTTGTAGATCATGGAAGAAGTCAAAATGTTGTAAGAATAGTCCACTTCTGAGTTCCAAAACCCTCACTTTCAAAATGAGGCCAAGTGCACAACCTTTCTTGTGAAAATGAGTTTTATTTGCATCAGAATGAAAAATTATTTCCATATAAAAAACCCACTTTATCTGAGTGTCAAGGTATTTAGCACGAAAGTACTAATTGGGGGTCACACTATTTAAAAGTCTCCTACTGGAGACGGGGTCGCCATTTTTCATGGTCAGCCGAGCTACACGAAGGTCTAGCTATTTGCAGGGCAAAGGCAGTACCTTCATTTCTTAGTCATTTTAACCCTTTAAGTCCCAATAGTGACCAACATCAATTTGCTCCTAACAATATCCATATATTGCCAAGAGAAATGGTTATGAGAGTTAATAAAATGATCACTAAAGAGAAAATGCTTTGATCTGTTAACAAACTCTCTCAACTAATTCTTTAAGTAAATGTAAGAAAATCAGTGTGGAGAATTTGTATGTGGATATTGCGACTTAAAGGGTTAAGAACCTGAGTGTTGGTCCGGCCCTGGGAGTCAAACCCGCGACCTCCTGCTCTGCAGTCAAATGCTCTACCAACTGAGCTAATCCTGCTGCAGTCAAAGGCTGAGCACTTAAGTTCGTTTTGATACAGAGCCCCAGGGAAACATGTAAATGGCCTATTAAAAAGTGGCACAGGCAAGTACATTGATGTTCTTAAGACATTTTGATGATCTTTTGCGATATCTGTTTGTTTTCTGCAGTAAGCTATCCCTGTGATCTTTTACACTCGTTTTTAAATAAATTGAAACTACTGTGAGGTGAAATTTCATTTCAAAAGTTCTTAATTTTTCGACAGATAATGGCCGGACATCAAGATTGTCCAGTTTTTACCATATTTCTGATCATAAAAACTTTATCCCAAAATATCTCGATAATACTCTCCCAGATTTTGTCTAAACTTCACAAGCATCAAAGAGTTCCCAGTGCCGAGAAATATGGCTGCTAGTAAAATAAGTAATGACATCATTTCGTTGCTATGACAACTCCGATGCCATTATAATCCTGATCTTAACAAATTTTCATCTTTATCTAATACAGCTGTGGTGATAATGTTTCCAAATCTTTGTTAGTGGCAGCGTAGTTTATGCTCAAACTTGGGTGGTATTGACCCTGAAAACCCCATCGAGCCATGAAAAGTTAATATACTTTTTCCAAGGCCTTCACTGGCTCAAAGCGGAATATTTGCATAATGTGTGTCATATTGCTGGGCTTTTTTGAATTTTTTCCTACGTTATGCACGGATTGGATTTTTCGAGTTGCCAAAACCCGAGGTCTTTATTGTACTTGTTCAATTCCAAATAATCTCGCAAGCCCTTAAACATTTTTAAAACTGTGCACCAAGTCGGACAAAATATGTGACAAAAGAGGAAACATTTTTCCAATGACTTCACCTGTGTGCCTACTCTCTGATCATAAACAGTGTACAACATAGGCAACGACCAGTCACAGCTCATGTAGTATTCAGTGCATCGTATAACGCGTACAAAAAATGTACACGTTTTCACAGATTATAGTTCGAACTCCATCAATAAGCGCGCAAGAATCACTCAGTTATTGCAAGAAGGATTAATGTCTTTTGATCATAATCTTCCGTGAATCAGTGTTAGTATAAGTTAAAATCGTTTGGTACTTTGGGCCACTGCACCTTGTATTTCTCCTTGTTTCTTTCATTGGTGGACTAAGTTGGGCTAAGCGTACATTATAAGGATAACTCTTGCACCGGCATGAAAACCGGTTCAGATAGGGCTTTTTTTCACACATAGAACAGTGATTTTGGAGCGGTTTTTGTAAAGGAACGAAGCTGCACCGCGCCGCGCCTATGGGTTATGTGCCTTTGTGAGCAGGGAGGGGTTCATACCAGGCCGGAGTATTTTTCTTGTTGATGTGATAAGTTATACAGTCTACTGTAGCTTTATGGAAGTAGAGTGGATTTTTATGGACGTGAATCGTCCTTTTCCATTTGACTGATAGCCAATTGACACCATTATAGATTGCCGCCTGCACGATCCGCCCATGGAGCAGCAGTTTACAAGAACAACTTGTGGATATTTGCTGGCTATGATGGGAACAAAAGGTAGCGTAGTTAATTGATCTCGTAAAAGATAGATGGCGCATAAACATTTCATTGTGACAAACCACATTAAACCTGAATAGAAGCAAAAAGTAACTTCTTATTTCATGCATTACCCATAGACTGGATGATCTTTGGACCATTTGTTTGACAGACTCCAACCCACGGTGGCAAGAGGTATTTGTGCGTATAATTATTATTTTAGGATCAGTCTGGTGTTCTTAAAGTGCATGAGTGTTCAGTTTTCTGCTGTTGCTGGCCGGGTTCAGTTAAGTCTGGTTTAAACTGTTGGATGAGATACTAAGGTGTAACTACTATCCGTCGCACCTTCAGAACCTATTCTTATTCTAATGAGGTCGGACATTTCGTAAGTTGTTCGGAATACGTCTTAACTTCGGACATATTTTGTCGGGACACTTCGTGACTTGATCGGAGATACATCGTGACGTGATCGGCAAAACATCGACGGAATCATTGTTATAGATAATAATATGTAAAGGGAGACTATATTTGTGGTTGAGTTTGAAAATGAAAAGTTGAGGGACAGATAAAATGTCCTTGAAGGTGCGCAGTGCGCATTCACCATGACTAAAAACGTTTTAAAACGTTGTTCAGGTTCGCGGGTTTTGAACAAGCAACCTTAGAATCTATATAACTTAGACTACCTGCGCGCGGTGACGATATTAAACTGATCACCGTCGCAAGATCGGTAGGTATAAAAAATACCAATGTGTTTGGGAAACTGTTCAGCTTCGATCGAATATCCGATGATCCGATCCACATTAAACTTGTAAAGATAAAACTCGCCATGACTATAGTTGAATCCTTCTTTAACGATTTCGTAATCTGAGCTTTCCTGAAACGTGAGCTCTGTCAAATGAAGTAACGCCTTGGTTAAATTAAAATCCCGGGTAAACTGGGACTTGGAATGTGTATACATTTCACAGTGGTGGTATTTGTTAATGTGATTGGCACTCCATAAGGTCAGGATCGCGGACTCCGTTTCGGCGGGAACAGCGTAGAAATCAGAGCTGGTTTCAAGCATTGCTTCTTTAGCCATGTTTGCGATAATGTGAATAAAACGGTTGAGAACTTTTAAACAATCGTCTGTAAATTCGCGCAAGTTGAAATTGTTTGATCCACCGCTCGGAGCGCGTCCTATGTTAATTTGCGCAACATTCAGTCTTTCATCCACCACGCCTTTACGTACACCTATTGTGTAGGCTAGGCATAAGAGAGCACGTTTGATAGTCAGTTAGCATTCAGTCTTTGATTAGTCAAAGAACGTTTGATGTTTCTGACTCATAGGCATTCCCTGATTGAAGTGTTAGTCAGGCATATTTGTCCTTCAACGCATTGGATTTGTTCAGGAGACTCTTCTCTCGCATCAATTAGTTTGTGTTCATGCGCGCATTGCCGAAGAATTAACGAGCTGGAATTAACCCTAGATGGACTAGTGCACTTAAGAATGGACAAGCGTCCTTTAAGAAATGAATTTAACCGACTTAAAAAATTATATAAAAACAAACCGGCTTTGGATTATAATTACTTTTTAAGACGCACTTATAACGTTTTGGGTTTTTATAAATGTTAGTGGTGTATTAACCCAAATTCAAGAATCCGAAGTGTGCGATTTAACAGATTGGGTGGAATTGAAAGGAGATTATTGCTGCAGACATTGCTTTAGAGTGAAATTTTTTGCACTAACCAGAATTAGAATAAGAATAGGTTCTGAAGGTGCGACGGATAGTAGTGGCGTAACAATTCAGCTAAAAGATAGCCCTGGTGGCAGACGCCGGTTAGTATTGTTGGTAAGTTCTTAAAGAGCGCGCGAGGGTAACACGCGAATGGAAGAGGAGGCCTCTTCTCCCCTGCGCGCGCGTCCTTGAAATTTCTCCCTTCGCCCCCCAAAAAACCTGCGCTGCTACGCAGGTTAGCTGATAAAAGTTGATTGAAAAGTACGTGTTATGTTATGCCAACATCCTGCACGGGTTTAGGATAAAGTTAAACTTATGTAAATTGTGGTCTATCGCTTAATTAAAATTCAGGAACAGGAACAAAAGTTGCATTTGTATTTTGATTGTAGGTACAACAATCTGGAGATAGACCACCCACTTGCTGCAACTTTCCTGTTGCTGTTGTCAAGGACAGCATGTTTGTGTTTTCGGGTCAAAGTGGAACTAAGATTACCAATGACATGTTTGAGTTCAATTTTTTGGATCAGAGGTAAGTCGAAGGAAAAGATTCTGCAGAAAACAGACAAGCAGTTTGGCAGTAAATTGCAGGGTTACACAGATAGAATTACGTATTTTAAATTTTATCAAATTTACTTTAACATGACAGGCGACGAAACTGGAAACTTCGGCTGTTTTTCCCGTTATTTTGCTTCCTGAATTTTCTTTCCATTTTACATGTGTTGTAGTAGGTTGTGGATCGGACATGAGGGATTAACCCTGCGGGAGTAGCAGTAATCCCAAGGTGTTTCAAGCTACAGAAACGTCCAAGTTCTTGTGCACCTTTTTAAATTTATATTGAAAAAGCAAGCTCTTACCTACTTTGATTTCCGTCTACAAACTACCAACATAGCTAATGCATGAATTGTGTTCTTTATATTTCTCTGTTACAGGTGGACCCGTATCCCATCAGCCCATTTGTTACGTGGTGCGCCTGCACCACCTCAGCGGCGTTACGGTCACAGCATGGTAGCGTATGATAGGTACCTTTATGTGTTTGGAGGAGTAGCTGACAACACTTTACCTTCCGATCTATACAGGTATGGGGGTACCAACGCCCCATTCTTTCTTCATCCCCCCTGATATTAGCTTCCGTTTTGAGCAATTTATTTTATTTTTCACTCGCTCAATAAAAACTCTGTTTTTCTTCATTTGCGAACTTGTCTGTTTGTTTCCAGCACAATTCCCGCATATCAATTCTTTCCGCCGAAAACGAACAAGAACAGAATAACTTTATATGGTTCTTTAGGTCTAAAGCACCTCCATGGTTTTGTTTTATCACTACAGAAAGAACGAAATGGCATAACTAAGTGCTACAAATGTGTTTCAAATGATGACTTAGCTTTCCCCCGCCCGAGTACTTGTAATGGGTATTTTGGTAAGGCCTTGCGATAATCCAATATCCCTGCCGGAGGGCGAATGACATTAACAGTATTCAGAATACTTTAATGCTACTGAAACGGTATCCTCCTGGATAATCGCGCATGCGTATGTTAGCGTAATGGAGTGTTATCTGTTCTTTGTATTAAAAGATTTTCTCTTGACGAAAAGACATGGGAGATCGTGCAGCCAGCGGGAGAAAGTGAGGTAACAAATGAAATAAGATGTTTGCTTGTGCGATCCGATGATCATCGATAGTAAACGATTTGCTAGTTAGTGATATGACCTTCAGAGTTCGCTTAGTGTAGTCCTAGAAATGCTCTTAAATGCAAGGAGAATAAGTCGGACTAAAGATAGGGAACTTAACCACTTAACCACTTCCATCTGCATGTTATGCCGCAATGCACTTCATTGCGCATGCATTACTATGTACAAATATCAGTCTGTCACAGGTACCGCGGCACATCTAAAATACAAGAAACAGCAGGTCAAAGGTGTTGTGGAATAAGTGATCATGCTATAGTTAATCTTCACATCATTATTCCATCTCCAAGAAAAGCTCGAACACATTTGGTAAATTAAACTTCAGTTAGAAGAATAGCGAAGTGGCGTTAACGAGTGATCTCTTTCTTTCTTTATGTGGAAGCCAGTAGAATCTTCAGTCGCATTTGCCCGCACGCAATTTGAAGCCAACTGGTTAATTGAATTTATATTACCCTTTGTGTCGTAGATTCCAATTGGACGACTTTTCCATGATGCAGATGTTATTAATAACGAAATGTACATATTTGGCGGAACCGTGGATAACAATGTGCGAAGTAGCGAGCTCTACAGATTTCAGGTAANTAAAATACAAGAAACAGCAGGTCAAAGGTGTTTTGGAATAAGTGATCATGCTATAGTTAATCTTCACATCATTATTCCATCTCCAAGAATAGCTCAAACACATTTGGTAAATTAAACTTCGGTTAGAAGAATCGCGAAGTGGCGTTAACGAGTGATCTCTTTCTTTCTTTATGTGGAAGCCAGTAGAATCTTCAGTCGCATTTGCCCGCACGCAATTTGAAGCCAACTGGTTAAGTGAATTTATATAACCCTTTGTGTCGTAGATTCCAATTGGACGACTTTTCCATGATGCAGATGTTATTAATAACGAAATGTACATATTTGGCGGAACCGTGGATAACAATGTGCGAAGTAGCGAGCTCTACAGATTTCAGGTAAATTCCCACATTTAATTCTTTTGTCTTCAGGTCTTTAATTCTTGTTGAGGTAAATTTGCTGGTTCCATCTCTCTTCAGTTGGCTAGTTATCCTCGGTGCACGCTCAGAGACGATTTTGGTCGCTTACTGGAAGCGAAGCAGTTTTGCGACATGGTCTTCCTTGTGGGCCAGGTAAGCACCTCTGAGGTTAAATTTCCTTATCACCAGTCGGCTTTACCATAGAACGATAAATTACGAAAGAAGATTCTACCTTTCGTTGCTACGTGCCCAAGCTGAACGTCCTCTTGATGAGCAAATTGAATTTAATTCAAAATCAACCATTAAGGGCCTTCCCTTATTATTGGGCTGCCTGTGGCACATCCCAATTATAAAATTAGCTTTCTCCGTTCGCTAGGATAGAAAATATTACACTATTGCAGCCCAATAACGCCTATTAAAGGCGTCTTGTTTCATATAAAAAGAAAAGTCTCAGGGAGATATTCATGTTAGTGGAGCAAAGTCGTAAGGTCACGTGAGGTCAGGAGCTTATGAATCGTGTTTGGCCTGTCAACACCTTATTTCCTACAACTCAATTAGACGTTGAAGATCATCATACTTTTTACGCCTTGTGCTATGATTTTTTTCTTGCTCCCTACTTGATTTTTTTTAATCTGAAAAATTATGTCATTTCCTCGCCATGAAGAGTGTGGACTCGTTACTCATTCAGTCCTAGTGGTCGACGTTATGATGATAAAGGTAATGATGATCATTGTCATCGTCATCCAGTTAATGAAATAATGAAAGAGTGATGAACCCGTTTAAACGTGTTTGTAACGAATGAAATTCACTTTCAGGAAGAGACTCGATTCCCGGCTCACGCAGCCGTTGTGGCGGCCAGGTCGACCTGGTTGAGAACACAGTTATTGCGAGCCAGAGAAAGATTGCAAGTAAGGATAAATTTCGTGCTTGTCTTCTTGTATTATAGTTCGTCAGATACAGAGCAGTATGATTTTCTTTCTAGTGCGTTGTTTCAACATAATAGGTGAAATAGTTTTTTTCTTTAAAATGTGTTTACGTGAATTTTTGATTGTTACTGTCTTGGTACAGCCGAACTTTTGCAATACGGACATGTCTTCATTACGGACAGTTCTTCTCTTGGTCTCAAATCCCGTTAAGCTAAAAACTTACCTGATACGGACATTTTTACCTCATGGACAGTTCTACTGGTCCCTCACTCGTCTCCAGTCGTCTCTTAGTCTTAAAATTAACATTAACGAGAGAAGTGCGAGGGATGATGGGAAAAAGGAAAGAGACGAGTCTCCTCCTTTCCCTCTTCCAGCTTCCCATCATCCCCTTCGCACCAGATGCCGTCATAGTCTCTCGCGACCGTTTCGTGACCGCTTACAAATAATAAGAGACGACTGGGGATGAGTCCGTTTTGGTCCCAAAGAAACCAAACTTCATACAAGGCCTACCTCTGCAATACAGACACTTCTATGCCGAGCGGACACTCGGCTCTTTCCCCGGGTGTCCGTATTAGCCGTATTGGGAAGGTCTTACTGTATTTTCAGCTTACTGACAAAGTAAATAGACCATCGTAAAGAGCTGACGTTTCGAGCGCTTACCCTAAGTCAGTGAAGAATTTGAGAACTGTGGTGTTTGTGTGTTTTTGAACATCGTGCATTCTAGTTACAGTCTTTTCGTTGGTCACATGGTGCGTCAACAACAATATAAGACCAGTCAAA